TAAAGGGTCGCGGCATCAGAAAGGTTGAGAAGCACTGGTCCAGAAAAATGTCTGGAAGATGTCAGGTCTAATTAGCATATTACCCTTTTATTAGTGTGTGTGTGTGTATATATATATATATATATATATATATATATATATATATACACACACATATATACTGTATATATATACACACACACACACATACATACATACATACATACACATATATATCATTACCTGCCATGTGTATATATAAATATATCACTACCTGCCATATATTATATGAAAATACAGGATATATTTGAAAATACAGGCTATATTTCTAATCTCTCTCTATAAGAAAGACTGGAGAATAAAATAGTTGATGGGTTGAAGAAACTTTTATTTGAGTTCAGTTTAAAAAATTAGCCTCTTGAGACTGGGAAGGAAAATACTAAATCTTTTGATATAGGAACCGAAGATTCCCTTTGAAGGTTAAGAAATAGCTATGAACAAACAAAAGACAGCAATGCTTTTTTGAAATAGCAAATAGTTAGACTTAAGTGACAGTGCATCAAGAAGTACTGCAATACATGAGTTGAAAGAATAATATGTTGATTTAGTAGAGCCTTATCTGTGGAAGTAAAGACAGTAGGGAAAGATTATTAAATAGACATTTACTGTTCAACTTACATATATAAACACTCTTCTAACTGTGGTGCTAGGGATAATAACAATTAACAAGTCTCTTCCCTTGAGTAGACATATCGACTTTCAATGGTGGTTGGAATTCTTAATAAAGAATTATTACATGCTAGTCATCATACCAGATAAATGGCATACTTTATGTCTTTTAATTTAATCCCTGCACCATTCCTATTGAATCAGGTATATTTCTTCCCATTTTATAGATTAGAAAACTCATCCATATCTTTCTAATTTAGCACAGTGCTGATATACAAGGGAGAGCAATAGTAGGAATATAGTTGTGAGTATGTTAAACAGTGTTAAAAAAGTTAATGTAATCATAACCTGCATATCTTTTTCCATATGCACAACTTTAAATCTACTTTAGACTACCCCTGCATCTTAAACTCTCTGTAAGTTTTATTGAAAGAAAAAAGCAATTAATAAATATATTAATGTCACTGAATTATAGTAAGTTAAGTAACTTTCCTAAAACTACACAGAACAGGTGCAATTCAAATTTAGGCTTACCTATTTGCTTAAGATGAGGTCTCCCCAACTTTCTCCCAAATAACCTAAAGATGGAGATAATTTTATGAATGGAAAATTATTATACTTGATTTTGTCTGTTTTCTGCTTCACCTACTATGTTAGAAAAAGTAGTTTTATGCCCGGCTGAAAACACTAGACTGTTTTGTTACAGGCTCTTAATTTGTTACACCAAGAAAATACCCCAATTGTCAACTCCAACTCTTGTGTATTTTTCAACAAACCTCGCAAGCATGGGCAGCAAGTGTTGTATCCTTCCTGAATCACAAAGAACAGCTTGTGCTGAAGACTATGTGAGTCTTTTGAAACGTAATAAGTCGAGTTGGTCTGCAGGTTGTGGGTTATTGTTAAGCTGAAATATAATAAGTCAATAATGATGAACTTTGGTCTTGAGATATTTAGAAAGATTACTTTCAGAAGCAAGAGTGAACTAACGTGTGCATGTGTGTGTGTGTGTGTATGTGTATGTGTGTGTGTGTAGAACTTGGTTGCCTACATTATCCTGACCATCAGAATGAAGATTGAGACAAGATCCTGAAGTTGATAAATTGTTCTGAAAAAATTCCATGAATTTTTAACGTTTTAATCTGGCATTAAAATTTTTGTACTTTTTGGAAGACTGCTTTCACCCCATTCCAACACATACCTTAGGAATCACCTCAAATTACTTTATTGAATGGATTATTATGCAAATATAGATATATCTGTAATAGAAAAAACTTTTAAACATCCCGTAAGACTTGTAGTAAGCAAATCATTCCCTCAAGTCTATCTTGTGTTCAGAGTTTCTAGTTAAAACACAAGACTCTTTTTGGTTCATGGGAAAGTAGGAGTTCAAGAAAACTTTCATTATGCTTCTTTTAAATTTCTGCTGGACATCCTGTTCTTTAGCTGTCCATTGCCCTGAATGTGTTTTGCACGGCATATGAGCGGACACCTGTGAATACCAGAGTGACCATATGCTGCTCAGAGTCATTCTTGGACAGACGGCCATGCTTTTCTGCTCTGAAAGATGATGAAACCTACATTCCAAAACAATTCAATGCTGGAACATTAAGCCTCCATGCATTTGTATGTACACGTACCAAGTTTGAGCAACAAGTTTTGAAACAAATGTGAGTGGCGTCTCATTACTGAATATGTTTGTAACCTTGATAGGGAGAGCTGTCAATGGAATGATAACTTTTTCTGAAGTAGTGATTAAATTCCTTAGAAAATAGTATTTAAGTATTTTCCTTGTTAAGGTGATAAACATGTAATAAAAAAAGAATAGCTTTTGTTTTCTTAGCAAAACAAGCAAACAATAACAAATAAACCTGTACTATAAATTTGCCTAAAATTATTCAGAATAATCTTGAGGATAAAGGCTATCTATACTATAATAATAAAAGAGTAATATGATAATTAGACCAGATAGACTGGACATCTTCTGGGCATCCTTCTGGACAAAGTCATGGGGGTGGTGGCCAAGGCAGAAGCAGTTAGGGGAGATCAGGCAGGAAGGTAGACCAGTTAGGGGTGATCAGGCAGGCAGGTGAGTGGTTAGGAGCTAGTGGCCCCGGATTGTGAGAGGGATGTCCTTCTGGATCAGGCCTAAACCGGCAGTCAGAAATCCCCTGAGGAGTCCCGGATTGGAGAGGGTGTAGACTGGGCTGAGGGACCATCCCCCCTGATTGAATTTCTTGCACCAGGCCTCTAGTAATAGAATAATATCTTAAGACAGGTACAATAGAAAAAGCTGAACAATTAACTGATTCATTTGTGAGGTAAGAAAAAGTTAGGCAAACTCTTAGAAAAATTTATTTCTAGGCATAAATGAGTTTAAGTTTGTATTATGATTTGGCAAACCTATGTGATATAACTTTTGAGAATGACATTTGGATGAAATACGTGTAGAAGTGTGAATTCTGAGATGTGACTGTCACTGTCACAAGTGGTTAGATATTGCATATAAAGTTGCTGTCATGTGGCCATAGACTTAAGAGGAATATTGCAAAACTTACTGTGCTCATAGCACACTCTAGCACTATTATCTGTGCAGACATCAATAAAAGAGAACCTCTGGCTCCCATGAGTTTGGATAGTCTTATTTCCCCTATCCCCTGCATATTCATTTTGAATAGACCAACTAAAGACCAAAAATATAGAATCTTGGATTCAAAACTTTAAATAAATATAGTCTAAGGTAATTAAGCTGCTAAGAATAATTTTTAGTTCTCACATCGCTATAAACTGAATACTACTTAAATGCAATGGCTTAATGATTTCCAGACATTTATTTGAGAAGAGTTTATTGATTTACTGATACTATAGATATTGAGCAATTTTCATTGATGATTTTATTTGAGACTTCCACCAACTTCACGAAGGTAGATTTTATTCTCTTCCTGATGGAAATGAGAATATTGAATTTTATAGTGGTAAGCCTGTGCCTCAGGCTCACAGTTGCCTGCCTCCAAGGATTATGATCTCAAACAATAGTACTACTGCCTTTACCATCTTCATTTTCTTTATGTGAGTAACCTCTTCCCTGTTTTGTTTTGGTTTCATTTGATTGCAGTGCCATTGCAGAGCTATTGAAACACAAGCCCAAAGCCACTGAGGAACAACTGAAGACTGTTATGGAAAAATTCTCAGCTCTTATACAGAAGTGCTGCACAGCTAATGACAAAGAAACCTGCTTTGCTGATGAGGTGCTAGAGTCATCTTCATTTTAATATACAGTGTCTTTTGTTGTGGCCTGTTCAAGCTAAGGCTCAGGGGACTCTGTATCTGAAGGACACTCTGCACATGGGGCCCAGGAATCTTATTCTACATACTAGAGGCTCCATGCATGAATTGTACTCTAGTGGGATCCCTCTCCTGGCCTGTTGGGTTGGGCTGAAACTGGCTCTCTGACATCCCCTGAGGGGTCCTGGATTTTGAGAGGGTGCAGGCCAGGCCAAGGGATCCCATTGGTGCATGATTGGGGCTGGGGAGGGATGTGGGAGGTTGGCCAGTTGGGGAGGGACTGTGGAAGAGCTCCAGGGCGTGTACGGCCTGTCTCTTTCAGTCCTGATCAGCTGGACCCCCAGCAGCAAGCTCACCTACCAGTTGGAGCATCTGCCACCTTGTGGTCTGTGCACATCATAGCGACTGGTCGACTGGTTCCCTGTCTGTCCCATAGTGGTCAATGCAAATCATATCCAGCGGTTGAGTGGCCTTAGCATATCATTAGCATATTACACTTTGATTGGGTGAACAGCTGACTAAATAACCGGCACTTAGCCTATTAGGTTTTTATTATATAGGATAGTTGTCTGAAAAAAATGACTTAAATTAACTTAAGAAAAAATGCTTTTTTCTCCTGCTGAACTGAAGCATATTATTAAACGTTTTTAGTATTTGTTCTATTCTAAAGTTGAGCCATTTATGAATACAGTTGAAATATTCAGAAGTTCTGAAATCTTTTGGTAGAGTCATCATTAAACCAAAACCTTAATTTATTTAAGCATTTTATTTAAAAGTACTGGTTTGCAATTTGGGTGAATCTGTGTGCTTGATTTCATAAGCAAGTGGAGGAATTTATATTTAAATGTCTAACTCAATTACTGTTTTCTCCTATGACTGGACAATAATGCTTTTATTTATTTGGGTGCAAAGGTTGCCATTAAGTTTCCTTCTAGAGATTCTAGTATTAAGCTGGAATTAAAGGATGTGAAGCATGGAAAATTACTTTGTAATCATCCAATGGTTGTATAAATGTTCATTTATCCTAATAATGATGCTACTACCTCTCCCAATTCTCTCATTTCTTTGTATCCAGGGTCCAAAACTTGTTGCTTATGCCAGGCAATTTTAGCCTAAAGTCAACAAAATCACAAGTATTTCAGGTAATATCCTCTGGATTTTCTTAAAAAAAACAAAAACAAAACCCTACTAATTATATTAGTTAATATTAAAATAGCTAAGAGTCATGTGGACTAGCATCGATCACTGTTTTAAGGTCTTTTTATATATTAACTTATTTAATTTTCACAGTAGTTGTCTGAGTTAAATTCTATTATTATTCCCATATTTCAGATCAAAGCACAGATTGACCATAGGCCAAGGAACATCCAGATTCTGAGAGGTGGAGCCACGATTTAAATTGAAACCACAGCTTGATAGTTAATCACTGTCCTGTTCTGACCTAGTGACACAGTAGACAGAGCCATTCAACTCAGCAATGACTCACAGCGGATTACTTCAGCTATTAGGCTGGACAATATGAATTTCTGAAGGTTAAAAAAAGTTAAATGGCAATGATTTCACAAGGTTCAAAATAATAGTTCAATACCAAATCATGTCATCGGAGAATATGAGAAATCTGCTATGTGAACTCCTACTTAATAGTCAATAATTTGCTACTAAGTTTCCGGTGTGTCAACATGCTTAATTTTAATAGAATTTCTCTACTTAGGACAAAAAGACCCACTTTAAAATTTAAACATGTTTCATCCATTTTGGTTGCAATATTTTGGAGAAATATTAAGAAACTTTTTCTTAAAACGAGCTGTCTAGTAAATTTTAGCTTGAATTCCATTCATATTTTCCAAACTGACCGTGCTGCTTATTCCACTAACTGGACTTTAACTTACTCTTGCCACATGAAAATGCCACACATTGTGCATTCAGAAAAGGAAGAACTTCCTGTCTCTGCAAATTGGTTGTTTTAGATTGTGGCTTGTTTCAGCCCTAAATGGTAAGATTTTCCTCCTAGAGGTCTGACTTGAAGAAGACACCTTGTTGATTTGTAATTAACGAAGGTAAGAGATAGGTGTTTAGGAATTGACCCTGAGGAGTGATGTTGGAAGCTTCTGACTTTGAAGCCTGAGGAGTAACATGATATCAGCGATGAAGAGAGGACTTTACAATACCTCGTAGGGTGTCTGCTCCCTTAGTGCAGCAGCAGAACTCAGCTGCCATGGGGCGAGGGCAAGCTTGAATTATTTTCATTGGTGAAAACTGGAAATTGCAGAAAGACAGTCTAAGCTATTTGACATTCATTTAGATAGATTTAAATGCCATTTTATTAATGGAATTGTATTTGTCCTTTTCTTTTTCAGTTTACCCCGAGAGAAGGAAAGAGAAATGAAGACCCAAAGCTTATTCAACTGTTTCTCCTTTTATTTGTTATAAAACCAACAGCCTCTCTAAAGAACATAAGTTTTTAAAATATTTTGCCTTCTTTCTCTGTGATGTAACTAAGTAAAAATCTAATATTATGGTTCAGGATATTATTTTTCTTTTATCCTCATTTCCTTTTAATTATTTATGTTTTTGCTTTTGTTTTTGTTTTTGTACTGTTATATTTCAAAGAATGGTTGCCATTCTGAAACTTTTGTAGGTTCTGTGAAAGTGTCGCTGTTCTCTTTCCCCCCACTTCATAGGAGGACTTCTAATTCCCATTGGGATAATAGAGTAAAAGAAACATTAATACTCTTCTGAGTTGAGGATAATGAACATTGAAAGTAATATTTTAGCATTATTATAATTTTGAAAAAGAGTAAAGATTGTGGTACAGGTAGGGTATATGAAACATGGCATTTCTTTACTACTAGAACTCTCTAAGCAATGTGAGGTACAAAGAAGACAGAGATGATTGTAAGGATAGTTAATTGAATGGAGAAGAAAACACTGATCCTACAAGAAATTTGACAGTCTAGGATGAGAATACATGAAGAGTGTAGTAAACTTAATAAGTCTGTAAAAGCATTAGTGGAAGAAGGAACTAGATCTGGACAAAAGCACAGTAAGGCTTGATTAAGGTATATTGAATAGAGAAAGTATAAGAGTTGGAGGATAATGTTTTCTTGTAAAAATTAGATGTTATACTTGTAAAGTTTGATTAAATAATTGAATCAGTATCCTTCCCCTGGGAACTGACCTTTAGGCCGCTTCACAAGGGACATTCCACTTGCTTAGACCACATTCCATTTGCTAAGACCATTATCTCTCCCCTCTGGACTTTCCCAGAATCTGGGCCTGCACAGAGAATTCTCTGCCCAGATAAAACCTGCCAAGAGTCCTCTAAAAGTCTCTGACTCGCCATCTTTGGGGGCTGGTGCCATTTTGGGGCTCAGCCCACCTTGTATCCAGATGAACTAATAAATTTATAATCCCTTACCACTTTGGCCTCATGTGTTCTTCCTTCTATAACCCTAAAAATAATTGATATTGGACGTCTTTTCCCTGGTTCCAGAGATATTCACTGATATCAGACCATTGTCTATGAATTTAAAGATTTAAGAGCCATTTATAGCCTTGATACTTTGTACATTTTTTATTTTTATAGTATTGGTTTCATACGGTACATGCTATTCCACAACCTGTTTATTTTGTCCTTAATAATTATGCTTTATTGTTTTAAGTATGGTGCTTGCAAAATGTTTTGGTACCAACTTAAGACAAAAGGCTCCCTTTGTATCTGGAATGCTACAATCCACACCCTCCCCCATCCACACCCAACCCCACTTTGGCCTCATGCTGATTGTGTCAAATACTTCCCCCATCTGTTGCAATCTCACAAAGAAGGAAGAGAGCATGAGAGGGGAGAAATGGAGATGGAGTGGCTTTTTTAGGGACTCAGAGGCAGACAGAAGATTTTGAGGAAGGTGTTTACACATAACTGGACCCACACAGGACTAGGTCTGAGTACCCTTGCCTGGATGTCTTGCAGTTCAATCACCAAATGGGGACTTAAAACTTTTGAAAAAAGGCATTCTGAAGTGTGGACTCCTGGAGCCCAGCTTCCCCCAATTTATTCATGGTCAGACAAATTCCCCAAATTTCCTGAACACTGGAGCCTAAGAGTGGTCCAGGAGCCCAGTGCTCTCCCTGGTTCTGAGACAGCAGCTTGGAAAGTACATCATGTGTCTGGCTGACCCTCATTGGTATGCCTTTTGTTGCACAGTATGGAAGATTGGGCAACCAGATAGTGCAGACACACTGATGTGTTTGTACGTGTGTGTGTTCCCTTTCCATATCTGTTTTTGGAAGCAAGTCACTATATCTAGCTCACACTAAGAGTGAGGGATTGCCAGGATTCTTGTCTCAGCCTTACAAAGGGTGCTGCAATCTGGAGAAAGGAGCTGATGCATAGATCAGTGTTTTTCAACCTTTTTGGGCAAAGGCACACTTGTTTCATGAAAAAAATCACGAGGCACACCACCATTAGAAAATGTTAAAAAATTTAACTCTGTGCCTATATTGACTATATATAAAGTAATTCTTTTGAATAGGAATCAAATAAACACAAAGAAAGTATTTTATAATTACTTTATTATGAAATATTAAGTAAACAAAATAGTGAAAAATTATAAAATTCTTGTCTTGTCTGCACCTACGGCACACCAGGCAACATCTCGCGGCACACTAGTGTGCCGCAGAACAGTGGTTGAAGAACGCTGGCATAGATGATTAAGAAGGAGTCCAAGGATGAAAAATAATTTTGAAAGGCATTGGGGGTCAGAAGAGCTTCAGCTAAAGGAACTGAAAACTACCCCATGTCTAAGGACCCTGTGCTATTTATTAACATAATTTGTCCTAAGGCAAGGTGGAGACGTACACTTCAAAGGGTAAGATTCACAGAAGCATTGTCAGTTTGGGGAATAGCCTACAGCTGTTCAGGTGTTTGGCCAATAGGAGGCAATAACATTCAGATTTAAGATGCCCTGAGCTGTCTGGCAGCAATCAATTATCCTATTCAGGTTTGGGGGAGATGCTTTTTAGCTGTCCCAGATGATTCAGCCCTGTTGATAGTACCGAATTTTTGGACTGCATCCCGGATTCTTTGTCTGTAGGAATCAAAGAATGAATCCAAGGACAGAAAGTGGTATAGCAAAGATGGAGATTTGTTGAAGAACAAGTACAGACTCTCATGTGGGGAGGGGGAATAGTTCCACTGGATTCTTTTCCCTATGACTTATAAAGATCCTGGTGCCTGATATCTCCTTTGATTGGTCAATATTCTCCTTTGACCTGTGAAGTTCTCCCTCTTCTTCCTTCTGAATGAAGGGCTTCATTTCCATCTGAATGAAGGGCTTTCTTCTGAATGAAGGGCTTCCTTCTCTTTATTTTGTAAATGTAAACCTATCCCGAGTACTTCTAGTTCTCTTATCTTATGGAGATGTGACTGTTCCTGGCTTCCTTGTGTTATGGAAATTACCTTCTCCCAGTCTGTAGCTCCATGCTTTTCCCATGGACCCCAATTCCAAAAATCTCTGTTTGCCTATATCCCCCTAAAATTCCTGCTTCACTGACATGCTGGAATTGGTTTCTGGCAAGGGAAGATTGAAGCTCCTGGAAAGAGCAGTACTGACATAAATCCAGACTTCTTTTGTAAAAAAAGATTTGTCATTTCTTTATTTCCTTATGAACTTATTAATACCACTATGAACTCATGTGTATTATTTTAAACTTTGGGTTATAATTCAATGCTACACTATTGATTTTTTGTGACTTAAATTATTCTGGTTGTGGCTTTTGAGGGTTCTTACATAGGCTTCTTTGATGTGTCTCTGAACTTGGTTTTTTGAACACATCTTAACTTTCTGGCACTACAAAAATCTCCAGCATCATCTTGCATTTTCCCTCCCTCAGACCTAGACACTAACACTTCTTCAGGGAGCTCTGGTTCTGTTTACTACAGAGTGGTATTAGGAACAAAGGTCTAAGCATGGGTGTGCTCACTGCTAATGGGGTATCACTGCTTCTAGATGGTCACAGAACAACTAAAAAAATGTAGATTTGTATGTATACTAAGCCATGTAGATAGACACACCTGTAATTATTTCTGTATCCATCTATCTGTCTATCCATCTGGCTAAATATGAGCTCAGACTGATGTCTCAGAACCACAATATATTCTGCATTATTAATACTTCGTAATTTTCTTAAATCTATCATCAAAACAACAAATCAAGACCTGTTTGTTAATATTTCTCCAAATAACTATGAATAATTTTGCTTATTTTCAAGCATTCTATTGAATACAAATGATATTCATCATTAATAACATACATTTGAATTTGCTGGTTGAAATAGTTACTCTTGGCATCTACTTTTCTTTTGTGCAGATTCATAGTTAAGTTGCTTTACTCTATTGCTTTTTCATTTATAGGTTTTTCATGTAAAAAGGTAAATTCTATCATGAAGAGGGAGAGGGAACTCTTTATCAGAAATTCAACCCTAATAAGTTATATAACTCTGAGTAAATAAGTTTTCCTTTCTAGACCTCTGACTTCTCCCCCGCAGGTGGGCTTGAATGAGATGATTGAGATGATCTCTAAGGTCTCATTCAGATTCTGTTATTTGCCATGATGGTAGACTATTATTCTTACATATTTGCTGATTCCCCATCCTGTGATGCCAGGCTTAGCCATGTGATTCACAGTGTCCTTCCTGGGGGAAGGTTATACCTCCCAGCTCAGTGATGTCAGATGTTGCCAGGTTACATGCATTGGCCACGGGAGTGTAAGTGGAAGTTATATGCCATTTCTGGCCAGAAGTTCTAAGAAGAGACATCCTATGTCCTTCTCTTTCTCTTTTCCCTCTGACACAACAGTGACAAAGTTCCACAAAAGGGCTACTTTGTACCAAGATCATGAAGAGAAGGGACTATGGAGCACACAGTAACCACGGTTGACAAATAGAATAAGAACATTTTTGTTGTTCTAAGTGCTATAAATCCCCAAGAGACTGGGATTTTTATTATCTATACTAGAGTCCCGGTGCACAAAATTCATGCACAGTGTGTGTGGGAGTGTCCCTCAGCCCAGTCTGTACCGTCTCCAATCTGCGACCCCTCAAGGGCAGTCGAACATCCCTCTCACAATCCAGGACTGCTGGCTCCCAACTGCTTGCCTGCCTCCCTTCCTGACTGCCCCTAACTGCTTCTGCCTGCAGGCCTGATCACTCCCTACCACTCCCCTGCCAGCCTGATTGCCCCTAACTGCCTTGGCCAGCCCTGGTTACCTGAGCCTCGGTGGTGCTGGGCGGCTGGGCAGCTGCCATCCAAAGCTTGCCTGAGCTTTGGGCCTGCTGTCCCTGGGGCTGAGGGAACTGGGTGCTGTCATCTTGTGGCTATGGGTGCAGCCATCTTTGGGGGTGTGACAGTCAATTAGCATATTCCCTCCTTATTGGCTGTGGGAGCTTCCATCTTTGTGATGGTGTGAGGTTCAATTATCATATCCCCTCTTTATTAGGTAGGATTATT